AACAATGACAACTACGACAAAAAAAATCCAGGTGTTGTGGTGGACACCTATAGTTCCAGCTACTCGGGAGGCTGAGACAAGAGAATCACTTAAGAGTAATCAGCCTAAGAGTTTGAGGTTGCTGTGAGCTATGATACCACAGCACTCTACCGAGGACAACATAGTGAGACTCTGTCTCTTTTTTTTTAATTAAAAAAAAGTTTAAAAAAAAAAAAAAAGCCAGAATAAGATGGAATCATCCCTGGATGCAGGGTTGGTCCCTCCCTAATTTAGACCAGCCAAACCCCTCTTCCCACTTTCTGCTTCTTTCTTCAGGGGCTTCTGGAAACTGCATCCTCCCTCGGCTCCTCCCTCCTTTCTCCCATAGTGAGGGGAGCCTGGGCTCGAGTCCCTCCCACTCTCCTCTAGGCTCTAGGCCCAGCCATGTGTAGAGTGGCAGGGAAAGAGGGCCCCAAGCTTCCCACTCCACCCCACATCCCAGCTTCTTCCCACTCTCCCCCATCCATACTCACTGCCCCACCCTGATTACCAGGATATCCTCACCTCTGCTGATTCTAAGCCTGCTTCTCCCAAACCAGTTCCCAGCTGTCATGTCTGTAATTACCAACCTTGCCAGGGGCATCAAACAAACGAGCAACACCTTACTTCCAAAGGGCCCCACCATAAAAGGCCTCTGCCTCCTAATCTGTACCAAGCTGGGTAGGGACAAGAGGCAAAGATTCTCCCTGACCCACCCCAGTTCTATCCAGATCACAACAGAGAAGGTAGCAGGAGGCTGCCCAAGCCAGATCACTAAGAGACAGGACAAAGAAGAGGTCCAATGCTGGGCAGAGTGTGAATAGGATTCACTCCCAGGCCTTTCCTTCACCTCTGCTGCCAAAATCTCATATACCAGCTTATCCACCTGCAAAGACTAAAAAGAAAAGTTTTAGGTCAATTCAAAGAGAAGGGAAGTTGATGCCAAGTGAAACGTGGAGATGGCTACCCATGGGGATGAGGGAGCTGCAGACAGGAGAAGATGCCCAGAAAAGAAGAGGAAAGAGCAAGTTTTAAAAAGCCCCATCCTCAACCCAGACCCTAACAAGCAGAAGTAACATCGCAGCCTCTGCTCCCCAATACCTCTGCCCTCACCAAACCCACAGGACAATGAAAGAGATGATTAACTTTGTTTTGTAGCAGGGAAACTGAGGTCAAAAGATCCAACAATACACACATGGTGCCCATTCTTGCTCACATTAAGCCTCTACCAGCAGTGGGCTCCTCCGTCCCTCCCTGTCTGCCCAACTCGTCCTTTAACCATACAAGGGAATATTATTCAGCCATAAAAAGGATTGCAGTACCAATACATGAGTGGATTAATCTTGTAAACACTATGCTAACTGAAGGTCACACACTGTCAGTTTCTATTTCTAAGTAATATCCAGAATAGGTAAATCCCTAGAGATGGAATGCAGATTGATGGTTGCCAGGGGCAAAGGCAGAAGGAGGGGGGTTGGGAGCAGCTGCTTAATGGGTAAGGATTTCATTTTGGGATGGTGAAACTGTTTTAGAACTAGATAGGGGGTGCTTGCACAACACTAGAAATGCCTCTGTTCACTTTAAAATGATTCATCTTATAGAATGCAAATTTCACCTTAATTTTTTAAAAAATCTACCTAAGGGCACATCTTACCCAGAACCTTTCCTACACCTGACCCCAGGGCCAAGCACTCTTCTCTCTGCTCCAGTGGCCTCCTAAACACACCTCCACACAACACACTGGGTTACAGTGAATCGACGTGTTTATGCACGTCTCTCTTGTGAAATTCACCCCTCTGTCCCCTATGCTTCACACAGCACCTGCAGATAGAGGGTAGTGCCTACGAAGAGCAGAACCAATTAACTCTCCTGCCCCACTATCCAGATCTCTCTCCCTTACAATAATCATCCGTCAGAATCCAGACTATTCAGCTGAGTGCTTCCTATGTGCCAGGTGCTGTGTCACATGTTGTCTCCAGATCATTATTATTATTAATTCATTTTAAAGGTGATGCTTCAAAAAGATATCTATTTTGTCTAAGGTCACAGAATCAGGAAGTGACGAAGGCAGAACTTAAGAGCAAGAGAAGCAGGCCACTGGAGGGACCAGGGCTCAGTCTGAGCTTAGAGGTGCATTAAGACACCTTCCAGGCTGAGGAATGGGTTTAACAACTTGCCCAAGGTTACACTCTGTTAAGTACTAATTCCAGCCAACTCTCTCACTCCTCACTTTGGCCCCACAGTGCAAGGAACTACCCTGGGAAGAATAAACAAAGCAGAAGACTAGAATTCCTAAAACTCAGAGGAGATGGGGGAGGCCCAGGTCTCCTCCCAAAGCTTCTGTTAGCAAAGTTCCCACCCCTCTAGAAGGATCTCTTGGAAACCAGATAAGCAGATTTAAAAAGTCTGGCCTACTCTAGAACCAGGGAAAGACCTTCCTCAGACCTAGAAGGGTCAGGAGGAGCAGAGGGAGTCACACCAGAGAGGACTGCTCTGAAAGAATTAGAGGAAATAAAAGTCAGGAGCCAGACAATGGGCAAGGAGGGGCCACTGGGGCCACTGGCTCCCAATCTGGAAGTACTTTCAGAAAGGGCACTTCCTATTATCTGACCACAATTCCTCCTCCCTGGAAGATAGCCCTTCCCCAACATAAAAGAGACCACGCAAGTGCTAAGTGAACAAGGAATCCAGAAGGCCACTCCTGGAAACCATAGCCTTCAGACAAGTGTCAGGTTTGGCGGGATCATTTAAAAAAAAGAAAATCTGGTCTTTTCCTACTCTGCCCCTATCCTCAGTCCCAACATTTTCTAACCCCTACTACTTTTATCTCAAGGCCTTAAGAAGGCTAGGAAGCCCTGAGGACTAAAGAGGGAACATTCCAACTGCACAGGCCTATTAGAGCCTCTGACATTCCAATTCCAATTGCAGGGAGACCCTCATGGGCAGCAGCAATCACAACCTCAGCTCTTAAACCCAGGTGTTTCAATCTAGCCTCTGGCAGCCAGAGGAAGATGGCTTAAAAGTGTGACATGGAGGAACAAAGCTAGCATCCTAAAGAAGGATATGGCCAACCCCTTCACCCTAAAAAGGAAAGGACAAGAGGACAGGGAAAGGAGAGAGCTGCTGCCCACTAAGGAGAGAGACATCCATTTCCCAGATAGTCACCGAGGTCCCACACCCAGCACACTATCATGATGGTGAGGATAGCCTCAGACACGGTGCCTGCCCTTTCCCCAACACGTGGACACTCAGCCCTGTCTCTACACCACAGCTCCATCCCAACCATGCCTCCCACCTAGAAGGGAAACTATGTGATAAACCACAGTTAGAACTGCAGGAGAAACAGCCCATGCCACCTTCTCAACCCCATGAGGGGAACCTAAGCTGTTTCCTGCCGTGAGTTTCATCCCCCCAGATGTACTTCCTTTTGCTTCCATCCCACATCAACATCCCAAACTCTTCAGGAACTGTGGGATCCTAGAGGCAGGACAGTCAGTGGGCTCTGAAGCAGCAATCTCCAAGACAGTTTCCAAGAGAAGTATGATCTGAGGGGGCTGGGCTGCAGCTGGGAAGGAAACCAAGAATGGAGCCTCTCCAAACTCTAGAACCCAGCCTATGATGGTGAGCAAGGAAGTTCCTTTTTCTCTTCCCAGCTCCTACATTCCCCCAAATTCCTCTAGGTTTACAAGGAGAACCCTTGTTCTCTATTTGTTACAACACACACCCTCTTTCAGAAAAACTTCCCAAATGGGCACTTTGTAAGACAACTCACTCCCTGTCATCCAGAGGTCTCAGATGCTTAAAACACTACCGGTGAACCCAAGCAGGACTGTGGGAGAAGCCTCAGAATCCTGCAGACAGCCTTCCCTCTGGGCTTTCTACCAAGAAAGCCTGTCTGCAGAGACAAGAGGCACCCCCAACTCACACTTAAAAACACACAGACCAGCTAAAGCAGGCACACATACTGATACCCATCGACACAGGTTACACACAAGAGAACACAGATTCGCTCACACCATTCCCTGTACACAGGTGCAAACATACCCATCCACACATACTCAATTCTGCGCTTACACACCCACCTTCCTCAGTACCTACACTCCTCTTTCCCACAAACCCCTCTCCCAGCACACACACGTAGACACACACCCCTTCCGCCAAAGACACACATAAATACACATCCAAACACACGGCAGATGCATGGTCAGCCGCTTCCTGGGCACAGCACACTCAAGAACAGAAAAACACCTATACATCCGAACCCAGGGGCCCACCTGCAGGAACATGCAGCACGTAAAGGCGTGCACACACACACAAAAACAAAGAATCATGCACGCTGATCCTTCGCCAACCCTTTAAAACTAACTAAGGTAGAGCCCACACTACCCCAAATGGTAAATACCATTGGGGAGAGGGATGCCGGTGCCGATCGCCGGGGCCCCCAGACACGGTCTACGGCCGCTAGCCCTATCCTAGGGCTGTACACACCCCTACTACTCTCCCCAACCCGCTCTACACCCTGAACGCATACCTGCCCCCTCCCTCCCCACACTCCTGAGGTGTGTATGCACCCCAAAACACCGTCGGCTTCCAATACCTCCAGACTCCGATCCATCCACCGCTTCTCCCCCCACCTCAAACACACGCTCCTAGTCCCCGGCTTCAACCGGCTCCCCTGGGATCATTAAGGCCCCCGCTCCGGCCCCGGCCCAGGAAAGTCCCCGGCTCTCCAGGCCCGGGCTCCGCCCCCTCTCTGCGCGCCCCTTCCTCTCCCCAAAGTTGGGGGGGTACTCCGCCATGCACCGGGGAGAGGACCGGAAGGGGGCTGCCCAGAGTCCTCCTTCCCCCACAAGCCACCCTGCTCGCCCTGTGGCCGGGTGCCCCCTGGCCCCTTGCACGATTGTCCTCCTTTTCTGTTTCTTTCTTTTTTCTCCTTTCTTTTTTTGCAAACTTTGCTCGCGCCCCCGCTCCCCGGTACTCACCCGCCGCTGCGAACCGCCGGGGGGCTCGGCTGGCGCCCGGCTCGGCCCGACGCCTTTGTATCCGCAGCGCTCCGGGGCGCTCCGAACTCTGCGCTCCCGGACCGGCAGCGCGGGCGATGGGGGTGCTGAGATGGGCTCGAGTCTGGTCACCCCGGGCTCAGTCCGAGACCGCTGCCTCTTCCCCCTTAAGGCCCCGGGGGCAGGGGGCCAGGGGGGAATAGGGGGCGCTCAGGCTCCCATGGCGGGACCAAGGATCAAGAAATCAGGGATCGGGAATCAGCTCGGGAGCCGGCGGTCGAAGGGGAGGGGGCGGAGGGGGAGGGGAAGAGAGTGGGGGTGCAGGGGGGCGGGGGAGCGCGCTCTCCCGGGTGCCGCCTCCCGGCTGTTCCCGCAGTTGCCGCCCCTCCCGCCGCCGCGTCCATTGTCTGCGGTCCGGCTCTTCCCGGAGTCGCCGCTGCCCCAGCCTTCGCCTCCAGATGCCTGGCGGCCCTCCCTGATCCTGGGAATCAGCGGTGGGCTACGACCCCCACCCTGATAGTGGGCAGGGGGCTCCTTCGATTCCTGGCCTTCGTCCAGCCCACAGCCCCTCTTGGGACTATCTTGCTCAACCCTCTGGGCAAGGGATGGAACCCCCAGACCCAGAGGACTGGCAGTATTCTCTTTTTTAGGGCCACAGACCCAGCTACACAAAATCCAATGGAATCTGAAACGTGGAAAGATTGATTTTTCCCCCTCTAGGGCTGCAAGAAGGGAGGGTCATCCCTGATTTTAATTAGTGGCGACGGATGCCCTCCCTTTCCTTTCATACGGGAATTTCCCTGACACCATCACCACCAGATCTCCCACCTCCCAAAAATAATTTAATTACTCGGTGTTCTAGCTGCGAGCAGCGACCGCCCCAGTCAGTCTGGGACACTCCCTCATTAACACGTTTTTCCTCCCCTCTGGTTTGAGTGTTGGGATTAATTACAAAGGGAACCCTGCCCGGGGGGAGCGGGGGAGGAGGAGATGACTAGAGCGCCAGGGAGTTTGGATGGCTGAGGAGAAGGGGGACTTATCCCAGGAGACCTCCAAGAGCAAAAATGCCTCGACCAGCCGGGTCCCTAACCCCAAGGCAGGCAGGGCTCTCTGTCCCAGGAGTTTCAGATACTTTAGTTGAGAATACTACACGGAGATAGTAGGGTCTCAAAATATCTGGAGCATGCCAAGAATCCAGTTGGGGTTCATGAAATGGGGTTATAGACCTGACCCCACCAATAGTGGCCCCACTGTAACAGCCTGGGCTGTGGGAAGTCTGTTTCCCTTGGTGTGAACAAAAGCTGATGTCGCTAATGTCATTGCTGTGCAGCCTGCCACTGATTTAGAATAGTATCACTTCAAAAACATCTTGGCAGACTTCTCCCCAGGTAGGTAAGGCATTCTGGACATATCAGCCTCCTCCAGCTTCCAGTCCTGCAACCTGCTTTCCCAACCTTGGTATTAAAAAATATGGGGTGTAATCCCAGCCCTCTGGGCAGCTGAGGCAGGAGAATGTCTTGAACCCAGGAGTTTGAGGTTGCTGTGAGCTATGATGACCCCATTCCATGCACTCTAGTCTGGGCAACAGAGTAAGATTCTGTCTCAAAATAAATAAATACATAAAAAATAAAGAAGTCCCAGGCAAGGAGACTTCCAGCCTCTATTCCTCACTTGCTTGGAGATTTTTGCTCCTCCCTGATGAAAATTTTTCTCTGAGAACTTATCTCATCTCTTTTGGTGACCTATTCTAACCTGTCCAAAGATGAGGACAGAGCCACCTTTGCCTGTATTGTTCAAAGATGGAGACTGCTAAGAAACTCTTTCTTTCTCCTTGCTCCAAAGCCTACCTCTCTTCTGCCCCACTTTCCATAGTATGGGCCAGTAAGTGACTCAGCACAAGTCTACATGAAACAGCAGAATTATTCCAGGTGCCCAAGTTCCTGCTTGCATCCAGACACTCACCTGTGCCTATCATGTGCAGGCACTGGGCTGCTCTGGGGGTCTGGCAGTGACCACAAGCAGGAGTATGAAAGACAAGTGGTAAGAAAGCTGGGGAAGGGTGAAAGGAGGTGGGGAAAACACGGAGGGGGTCCCCCAAGAACACACCCCGGTGGACAGAAAGTGTGCAATTTGACACAATGTCAGGGCTGCTGTGGTGTCTGACTCTAGCAGGTTTTAGCCTGAATGATGTTCACCTCCTGCTTGCCTATTTCACAGCCCTCAATAGGGTCCACAAATTTGAACAAGGATTCCTGCTGCCAGAATTACAGATAATTCTGTAGGCCAGCGCCACCTAAAGCTTAAAACCTAAATCAGGATTTCCATGGATGAGACTTCAGGGTTGACAGACATCCAGCATCAGGCTGGAATAAGCTTGCTTTTTCCTTCCTTTTCTCCAAGGGTGAGATTGGGGACTTTCACTTATACCTCTGCAATGGAAATGCTAAGTCTCTGAGAAGAGGCCTGACATTAATTGGTGTGCTCTATCCCATCCAGCAGGTCTCTGGACCACCCTCCACCCTCACCCCTAGGATAGAAACCCACCTGGATTTCAAACAACCTCAGTTCCCAGAATGAGAAAACAGAGACCCAGTAGAAGGCCCATGTGCCCTACGGTGCAAGAGACCTGACCTAATTATTTTTGGAGGAAGGAGAACACTGAGGTGACTTTCAACTAGATTTTCCCAAAGGGGCCAACTTACAGCAAGAGAGGGAAGCCAGGAGCCTGAAGGACAGCAGAGTGGAACAGATTGGACTTCACACAGCTCCTATCCTCGAGGACATAGGCAAGTTTCTTAATTCTTCAAGCCTCAACTTCTGTTTATAGAAAAGGAAATAATGAAGTAACAAAAAGAACCACCTCCTTAAACTCATAGTACCACAGTCAATTCCCAACCAAGCTTCCCTTCTCTGTTACATGCCTAGGCCACCCCCAGTTCTTTCAGGAGTCTTACTCAGGGAAGGAGGCCCCTACCTGAAAAGCCTAAGCTTCTCAGTTAAAATTCAGGGGTCTAGGCAGCCGGCTTGGGCAGGCAGACTAGAGCCATCTCAGGACAGACATCAAGTATGCTGGTATGTTTTCAGAGCTTCCCAGGTGATTAAAATCTGCAGTCAAGGTTCAGAACTACTGAATTTCTCAGGAGCCCTGAGAAATTGAGTCTCCTGGGGAAGATGCAAGAGCTCACCAGAGGCAGTGGACCCTCTCCATGGGAAGGCTCAGCCTCCAGAGAAGCACCTGTCTCCTGTGTGGGCAAAGCTGTCCCTGGAGGTCAAGACACAGACCACAGTAGCAAAGATTCGGTTTTCTGCTTTCCTGAAAAGTAGAGCCTTTTTGGCTTGGCACAGAGACTGGTGCTTGTAATCCTAGCACTCTGTGAGGCCAATGCAGGAGGATCACTTGAGGTCAGGAGTTGGAAACCAGCCTGAGCAAGAGCGAGTCCTCGTTTCCACTAAATATAGAAAAATTAGCTAGGCTGGTGGCCGGTGCCTATAGTCCCAGCTACTGGGGATGCTGAGGTAGGAGGATGGCTTGAACCCAGGAGTTTGAGATTGCTGTGAGCTAGGTTGACCCCATAGCACTCTAGCCAGGGACAAAAGACTAAGACTCTGTCTAAAAAAAAAAAAAGAAAAAAAGTACAGCCTTTTTACAGCGTTGCTCTGAGAAGGGGTAATCCTTAGTAACTTCTTCATAGAAGCTTCCCACATTAGCAGAATGGCCATCAAAGTGTTTCAGTGTGAGCAATTAGCAGATGGCAGATCTCAACCACTACCTTCTCGTAGCCCTGCCAGTGAACCTGGGGATAGTTCAGCCTCCTAGAATAATTAAGTTCTTTCTTCCTAGAAAGGCTACTCCGAAGGCTTACAAAAATATTTCTATACCCAATCTAAACTGTGAAATAGCCGAGTTTAGTGAAATTTTTCCCTCACTTTTATTGGAAAAAGAAAAATAGCCAATAAATAAATAAACAAATAAAAGAGTAACTGGTCAAGAACTATGCTATGTCAAAGGCATAGCTTTGTTGTGAGGTGTCTCTCACAGAAAATCCCGATCTCTGAGAACAAGGACAGAGTCTTGTTCTGGCACATAAAAGTCACTGTTAGCATTAGTTCCCTTCCCTTCTAAATTCCTTCTCTCTCCTCATTCCTCATCTGTCCCAAATCTTGACCACTCCCTATTTATCATATCTTTATTAAGTGTGAGTTTCCTCAAATCCAATCCCATTATCACCAATCTAAAAAGTTACCTACAATTAAACCAGTAGTTCTGAACCTTGACTGCAGATTTTAATCACCTGGGAAGCTCTGAAAACATACCAATATCCAGGACCCATCCCAGACTAATTAAACCAGAAACTTCCAAGGTGTGACCCAGATATTGGCATTTTTTTTAAAGTTATCTCGGTGATTCTAAATTAAATCACTGTATTAAACTCTTTCTGATTTCCTTCTTCCTTCTTGGACAAATAAATGCCCCCCTCCACCTCCCTGGCCTAGGACTAATCCCTCTGGGTGTGGATTCTATCATGTCCCTTCCTACCTGCATCCATTATCCCATCTCTCCTCTATTTAACTCCAACCTCTTCACTTTTCTTCACCTAGCAGATGTAATAAAATAAGATCTAGTAGAACCTCTGTAAGTTGACCATCCAAGGAACTGTAACAAAACAAACTGGTCAACATATGGAGGTGGTCACCATAAGGAACTTCGCCCACTGTCCTAATATGTACACAAGGTACACGTCCAGTCTGTGACAATTAGGCCAACTTAAGGAGGTAAGTGGTCAATGTAGGGAAGTGGTCAACTATGGATGTGCTACGGTACTTCCCTCACTTCCTCCTTCCTTTCCTTATCCAAACTTCTTAAACGAGTAGATTCTTCACCAACATCCTACCACCTTCCTTCACTCCTCAGATCCTTGCACCCCAGCCTTCCTTTCCATGTCTTCCCTCCTCCCAACTTCAAATACTAATGTTTCCCAGAATTCAGCCTTTGGCCTCCGCACTCCCCACTCTATATGCTTTCCCAAAGCAATATCATCCACTCCTGTGGCTTCAGTCAGTGCTTACTTTTTTTTTTTTTTAAGAGTCTCACTTTATCACCCTTGGAAGAGTGCTGTAGCATCACAGCTCACAGCAACCTCCAACTCCTGGGCTTAGGCAATTCTCTTGCCTCAGCCTCCCGAGTAGCTAGGACTACAGGTGCCTGCCACAACACCTGGCTATTTTTTGTAGCAGGTTTGAACCGACTACCCTCGGTATATGGGGCTGGCGC